TTTTGCCTTGCAGTAACACCAATGGACGTTGCAGAGACGGCGCTCCGCTTGCACAAGCTATCAACGATGCCCGTCATTCAAACCACAGCCCAAACGAACCATTGCCACCACCGCATCAACCTGCACCAAGACACAATCCCGTATGGTTAGTTGAGTGCCACGCCGCCGCCGCCGCCGCCTCTGCCGCTCTTCCCGCTGATGGCCACATTCGTTCAGAGCGGAGGTGCAAGCGAGAGGGCTACCGATGAAAATGGAAGAACACACGAAGGCTCTCGCGGGGGATACCCGAGGAGGGTGACAGAGGAGGGGACTGAATGGGATGGCGGCACACCACTCCATGGGCAGCTGGAGGAGCTCAGGCGGAATCTCATTGACAGGCTTGCCCCGGTGGTTTTCCACCTTCTCGACCCGACCAGGTATGTCCTTGTCTTGTACGGTAGAGGGCGTACAACATGTCGCAAAAACAGTCAGGGTTGGAACTCGGGACTAAATACCGTGGGTTGGTTGGTCCTACTACGGCTACCAGCGTCGGGAATCTCTCAATCTTGCACGTCCATTCACACAGATCGGCAAGAAAGCGCTCGTCCGGTTGACGTTTCCTTGGATCTTCGGTTCACCTTGCCCATTGTAAAAATGATATTTTGCGCGGAAAACGGCACCTACGCCCTACTTTGATAAACTAGCTGAGTTTGTTTTGGGCGACAGATCCCGCTACCCGCACTGGACCATCTGGATGAGACCCTACCCAAAACCAACCATGGTGTTGGGATGTTCTGGAGTACTTGTTGTAGGAAGCTCCGTAGATTGGCACAGAAACGGTCGCACGTATCCCCGTTTCCCGGATTTCTTTCCAATGCATTTAGGGCATTATGTAAGTGCCCCCTCTTGGCGGCGGAGCACAAACAATTGCTCAGATGACCGATGTCCTCCCTATCACAAGGGACATTCCGTCCGAAAGAGCCAGCTCGATCTGCAGGGATCTGATCTGTCTTGTGTGTGAAATTATGAACACTAAACCAGAGTTGCGCGAATCGCAACCCGAGCCCTTAACGGGTGGTCTAATCGAGGCAAGATGGCAAACAATTTCGGAAAAAGTCAGACGGCACGACTGCTGTACTGCTGCTGTCGTTGTCGCGCTCTCGCCACGTCACCACACGGCACGAAGGAGAGTCTCCACACTCGCACACCACACAAAATGGGCTCAACAGCCCACCCGCGAGCACAAGAACATGTCCTCCTCGTATGCTGACCAATCACAGGTGGCAACTGGTACACGTTGTAAGGGTACGTTGCACAAGGTGTACCTACCTACCTTGCATCCCAACGGCACGACGTACCTACTTTGTGCGACCCAACGGGCACAAGGTGCCGAGCTCATGCAACCCTATGGACACGAGGTGTTGAGGTCGTGCAACCCAACCGGCACAAGGTGCCGAGGTCGTGGAACCCTATGGGCACAAGGTGTTGACTTTGTGCAACCTTAACGGCGCAAGGTGTCGACTTTGTGCAAAATTGAAGGCACAAGGTGTTCAATGTGTGCAACCATTGTTCCGGTATGGCGTCGCCACAAGCATTTTTCGTAATCTCGTATTTTCGTGTCCTTCTTGCGACTTACTCATGCACACGCCACGGCGACGCGTTCAAACCAATTAAGCATCGCTTGAAGCAGACTAAACTTCCGATCAAAGACGAACGGACTCCAAACACCGATGAATTCCAAACTACTAAGCAACATGTTGCAATAGCAGAGTAGAAGTCAACGGACCCCAAACAAACCCCTCCGCCAAAGATATGTCTGTATTTCCAACCAATCCAGCAACCTACGTGAAACGAGGCGTCCATTGCACCCCCGTCTGCCGCGCTTGTTGATACATCCAAGGCGTCTAGAATGGAGTGTATGCGCTACACAGCATGGGTTGGATTGCTACGGCTATGGTCTTCAACCCCCGCTTGCACAACAATCCAGAGGGATTTCATTCTCGCGACAAATTATCGAATCTACCTCCAGTACATCCCCGAGGGCTGATGTGGAAACAACTTATGTCGAATCCTGCGATACAAATTACAAATCGACTGCCAAAAGCAGTCCCGTCAACTCATTGCACAACAGTATTTTCGTCTGCGAGTGATTTAACAGCGAAGCTCCTGATCCTTCAACGGTGTCACGCTCCATTGGCAATAAGAATCTCGAAACTTTGCCCTGGTGGCTTGAGACAGACGTCAATATGACAGCGTGGTAACCCAAAGCAAAACAACCCGAATATCGTCCATTTGCCTCCCAACTCCCACTGATGTGTCGCGGGTCTGTCCACCTGGGAGTAGGCGTATCGGGAAATGAAACCGACAGGGAAGAGGGGTCGTCGTGTTATTCCTGCGTTCAGTGTCGGGTTGAACATTGGGGTTGAACATTGTGGAATACCCGACGTCGTCGCTGATAAGACCGCAAGCTAACCTCAAAACGCTAAGAGCTACAGCTTGACAAGAAAAACATGGGTGCGAGAACATTGACCATATTCCTCCGGCATGCCACAGAGCGCCGTCGAACATGGAGCAATAGCAGTCTCAAGAGAGGCGCGTTCTACGCTACTGGTCCTGATATTTTCTGGTCACTGTACACTCTGAGTTCTGCCGGCGCACCTCCAACACATAGGACAACGACGGAATTCGTGGGACACTCACGTAGTATCTCTCCCAATAGGCGAGACCAACGTTCTGGCTGGCCCTTCACCCACCATCATTCTGACGGAGGTCTGACTTGTTAACGACAAACCACCTAACACCCATCAACAACCCTCACCGGAAGGAACTCGTCGAACTAAGTCGACAGCGTCGCCGACGATGGTGATGGTGACATCGCTCTCGCCGCAGCTCTCGCGGCAGCTACCGTTGTCGCCGCCGCCGCCGCCGTTCTGGTCATGGCCAGTGTAACCCACCTAGTTGTCACCGGCGCTTTCGTTGGGGTCGTCCATGAACGTGTACACTGGAGGAAGTACTTATGGACATCCGACATCTGTCCCATGTACTCTGCAGTAGGTGGAATGTCGGTCCCAGAGCCTGCACCACGGCTAATGTAGGAGGGTCCAGAGCCTGGGTAGTGGCAGGGCGAGAATATGCACCTATTTTTTTCAATATTTTCACTTCAGGCGCAAGAACATGGAAAAGCGCACTTGTGCACACCCCATCTCGAATACGGAATGCTTCTGTTCTGAAGACACACGAGGTTCGTCAGTGCAACACTGCGTTTTACTCCGTAGCACATTCGAGTGCTTCGCGTTGAATATGACGTAGGTCAATCCCACTTCAATATGTTTTCCAGCCCTCTGTACGTGCTGATGTGCGGAGAACGAACATCTACAAATGAAAATCAAACGAGTCGAAGAATACTGTGAAAAAACAACCTTATTGCAGAGAATGCACACACTAGGACAACAGCACGGCAGCAGGAGCGGGGTCCACGAATAGCATGTTTGGGGTGCTCGGTAGAGAATACTGTCAACGGGGCCTTCGGGGGTGTGTGTACTCATACTCTTAGTCGTGCATGCCGTCGTCGTTAGACCATTGACCTCGCACCCCTACAAAGCCGGGACGGAGCACGCCGGGTTCTCACCGGACCAGGCTCTCACATCACCAAGCGCGAAGCGCCGTGAGATATTCGGCGAGTCGCATGAAGGGTGCGCTGCATCCTGCTAAGGGTGTTCGGCATCTTGTGCTTACTTCCTTGCGTACGGATGACAGCTGCGTATGACTTAATTTATTTTCTGGTGCTTTCACTTCCAGAGACAGTTGTAAGCACTGTGTAAATGCCTCGAGGGTGCTTGACCATATCAACACACCGTAGTGCGATCATCCCCCTTGCGCGGAGTGAGGGTTCTTCACCCCGCACAACATGATCTACTCGACCACCACTATGGTTACTGCCCCCCAAAAAAAACGAGGTAAAAAAAACAAACGGTAACCTGGTTGCCGAGTTCACGAAGTGAATTGGCTTGTTTTACACCGTGGTTGCCAAGCGACGAAAACCCAATCCCGATGGCGATGGCCAACACCGAAGGGGGGGCTTGTTTTACAACGTCGTTGCCAAGAGACGAAAACCCAACCCCGATGGCAAACACCGGGGGGGAGGGTACGCAAATAAAATGTGTTGATGGGCATGCTGCATGGCGATTGTGTTGCCTACCGCATGTCTCTCACTCTCTCAGCAACAAGGTCTTGAGTCAGCCATCTTTCTCTTTTGGCCTCAGATGAGCTACCGCACCCAAACACAATATATTGTGAGGCCTGGTGTTGGAAGTGGGTATTGGCGTCTGAGCTGTATGTGCCGGGCCATTGGGGCGGCGAATGCGTTTTATTTAGCTAAGCTGGAACGTGGACAACGGGGGCGGGACACCACGGCAGCGGGTAGTGTATAGCTGGGACGAAGTGTAAATTATGGCGGAGAGAATCGGCGGAATAGGAGGAGATTTCGCACAGGGAGGAGACTACAGTTAGTTGTACGCATCGAAATGGAGGAGAGGTCGCGCAACGCAGCAGAGAAGCTACGAGCTGCCGAGTCGGAGGTGGAGAGGCTGGTGAAGGCGCTTAGAGTTGCGCAGGCTGCCAAGTATGAGAAGGCGAGACTTAGGCGGCAGCAACAACAACAACAACATGAACAACATCAGCAGCGATGAAGTGCTCAATCGCAGCCACAGCCATCGCAATTACAGCAGTGTTCTCTTGGTGGTTTTGTCCGTCAGCAGAACCAACACTGCGTTTTCGCTCAGAGTCAACAGGCGCGGCAGCACCAGCAATCGGCGCGGCAGCAACAGCAGCCGCCGCCAAGCGGAGTTGGTGGGATATATGACTGCGGGAGCAACGCCGTGTATTTCCAGCAGGAATCACTCCCTCCGCCCGGTACGTTTTACTATTGCACTCTGTGCGGCAGGAATGGCCATCACGGCGGAGAATGCGCCGCACCCCGCGGGTTCGAGGGTACATGCGGCGTCTGTGGTCAGTACGGCCATATGTGGCGGAACTGCGCCGTGAATCTTCATGGCAGCAGCGGCGAGGATGACGGCCGTATCGTCCGCGGTGGCTGCTGGATGGGCGTCAGTGGCGGCGGCGGAAGCCCGGTCGTACAGCAGCCGGTGGTGGTAGAGAGCGAGCACCGCTCTGATTTTATTGACCTGGTTCACGTTGGCGGCGAGGTGATGGCAGAGAGCGAGTACCGCTCTGATTTTGTCGACCTGGTTCTCGTTGGCGGCGAAGTGGTGGCAGAGCGCGACCACCGCTCTGATTTTGTCTACCTGGTTCACGCTGGCGGCGCTGTGGACGGTGATAATGACGGATGGTTTGGATGGAATGATTCTGTCGACATAGTTCACGCTGGTGGCAGTGTCTGCGGTGATGTTTTCCCCACTGCTGCGGCGGAGACAATGCCCGGAGTCCCCGCGGTGGCGGCAGGAGCGGGGGCATCGGCAGCAGCTCCAGCGGCGACGGCGGTGACCTCTGGCGGCAGTGCTCCCCCCGCGGCGGCGGTAGGGGGGATGGCCGGAGTCCCCGTGGTGGCGGCAGGAGCAGCGGCATCGGCGGCAGCTCCAGCGGCGACGGCGGCGATCTTCGGTGGCAGTGTTCCCCCTGTGGCGGCGACAGGGGGGATGGCCGGAGTCCCCGTGGTGGCGGCAGGAGCAGCGGCATCGGCGGCAGCTCCAGCGGCGACGGCGGCTGTCTCCGGTGGCAGTGTTTCCCCCGCGGCGGCAGCGGTGGGGCTGGCCGGAGTCTCCGCGGTGGCAGCAGGAGCGGCAGCATCGGCAGCAGCTCCAGCGGCGATGGCGACTACCTCTGGCGGCAGTGTTCCCCCCGCGACGGCGGCGGGGAGAATGGCCGGGGTCCCTTCAGTGGCGGCAGGAGCGGCGGCATCGGCAGCAGTTCCAGCGGCGACGGCGGCGACCTCCGGCGACGGTAGTGTTTCCCTCGCAGCGACGGCAGGGGAAGCGCCCGGAGGGCTCGCGGCGGCAGCTGGAGCGTCGCCATCGACGGCGGTTCCAGCGGCGACGGCGGCGGCACCCCACGGTGTTGTTTCTCTCGGTGCGGCGGCGGGGAGAATGGCTCGAGAGCCCGCGCAGGTGGCCACAGCGGCGGCATCGGCGGCTGGAGTAGCGACATCGGTGACGGCACCACCCGCGACCGCGGCGGCGGCACCGGCCGCTACGATGGCTACGGTCGGTGACGTTCCCCCCATCATATCGGTTCGGGGGGCGGCCAGCAACTGAGAAGCGGTGGTCAACGGCGTCGAAGACGGCAGCGATGATGGCGGTTGGTGCGCAGGCGAGGTTGGTGACTGCTGGGATGACAGCGTCTGTGGCGAGAGGGGGGCGTCCACGCACCCTTTCGATCCCGGCACCGTGTGTTCGGGGGTGCGCGGCACCAACTATCCCGGGGTGGACGACCTGGTCGATGGCTCCAGCAGCAGTAGCAGCAGCAGTAGTAGCAACGCCGAGGCAGAGGGGATGGATGTGGCCTGGTTTGGGGCACTGCTGCGCCCCTTCGACCCGGGGAAGTTGTACCGGCTGAATGCTGGGAGAGTGCGGCCGGTGATGGGGGTGGACACCCCGTTCGAACGTGGAAAGATGTCGCGGGGGCAGCAGCCGAGGCGCCCGTGTTCGCGACCGGAGCCGCGGCAGGAGGACCGTGAAGCGGTGAAGGGAGTTCGGAGGATCGGGCGAGTCCAACAATGACGGCAAGCAGCGCGACTTCTACTGGGGTCTTACTCTCGCCAAGGCACGTGATGTTTGAGTGCGTATTCTTTTTGCTTTGATTAGGTGTTGTGCAACCTGTTGTTCTTGTGTTTGGTCTTCAGATCCCAATATATCTGCTGCACGTTTGACCGTTGTTTGAATTCCTGTAAACAACTTTCCTATCGTTGGCGCACTCGCAGGTTTGGATTTGCTTTGGTTTTGTTCTGTAGAGATGTCCACTGGCGTTTTTCTTGCAGGGACACTAATTTCCACGGCCAACATGGCAGGAAATTTTCATGGTACATACTGTTGTTTTTCTGGAAGGCAAGTGGAAGGTTGCGGCCGGGGGGCTGTTGTTTGTCAGGAAAATATCTTAAATGGCGGCGGTAGTATAATTTCTGCGTACGGTTTGTTCCACTTTGGTTTTTCTTTCTTTATTGGAATATCATTCTCCATGGTAGTTACCGCTATGTTTTTCTGGTGGTACTGGATATGCGTAGGCGTTGGCTTGGCGTGCGACGTGCTGGGTAAGACGCTGGGGGGCACGGACCGTTTCTCTGTCCCTCCGATGTACCGGTACCCGACGAGTGAATCCTTGCGGAGTACCAATTTTCCCTCCCAAATAGACCTGTACGGCAGACTGGTATGCGCTGGACGTGTTCCTTTTCTCCAATATATGTTGATTCTTGTTTCGGTTTGGAGTTTTATCCATGATGGAATTGGAATGCGGAATTGGCATGCTGGATTTTGCGGAATCCGCCTGATTGTTGCACTGCTGTCGGAAATCATGGGGGGGGGATGTGATACCATGCTGTCCGCGCAGCACAACAAGCAGTATCTCTGACGCTAGGTTTGGTAGTTCACGTTTGGATTTCCGCGTTTCCCTGGGAACTTCATATGGAAGTGATGATGTTGACTACAGTTATGGGAGTTGGGTAGTTCATGTTTGGATCATTCTCCGCGTTTTACCTGCGGAGTTGATATGGAATTGAATATTGACTGGGATTTTTGCTGCGTTTATATGAGGTGTCCCAGCAGAGGGGCTGTTGGATGGATTATTAGCTGAGATGGAGGAATCGAAGCCGCATCAGTTTTGATGACCGTTTTACTTGACACTTGTTTCCGAACACGTTTGGGATGACTTCATCGGGGTGTTTGCGGACTTTGCTTTTGTACTGGTATGTCCGTGTATTGGAGGAAGGGTTTGGCATGTTTCGATGAGTCATGGCTGAAGCCTTTGTGCTTCCGAAGGTTATTTGAACTGGTCATTGAGTTGAACATGATTTCTATCTGAGGAAATTGTTCTGAGTAGTTGGGGCAAGTTTTCCCTGAGTTTCCCGTCCCCGTTCTGACGCAACTCCGATGTAGTGTTGATCTTTTACTTGATATTTTTTCAAGGGTAATTGTTTGCGTTTGACTGCTTGAGAAATTGGTAAAGCTTTTTTAGGTGATTTTAATTGACAGACCTTTTAAGGGATAGCAATTTGACATCAGAAAAGATTTGAAAGACAGATTTCGTAGAACTTGTTTCATTGGGAGATTGTTTGAATTGGAATGGATGATGGATGATTTCCGTTTGGATGCGTAGTTTGATTTTTTGCGGTTTTACCTGGCAATGAAAGTCGTGACGGGGATTTCGTGAATCGTATCTCATACCGAGCAGGGGGGCTGTTTGGGGTGCTCGGCAGAATATACTGTCTACGGGGCGTCCGGGGGGTACGCAGATGAAGTGTGTTGATGGGCATACTGCATAGCGATGGTGTTGCCTACTGCATGTCGCTCACTCTCTAAGCAACGAGGTCTGGAGTCAACCCTCCTTCTCTTTCGACCTCTGACGAGCTACCCAAACATAGCATTTGAGGATGAAGTAATCAACCTATTACGGTGGCACATAATTAGTGGGAGCAATTTTTGCTTTTTTTGGCGACAGTATTTTTTTCTCTCAAGCAGTGTTAACAAATATTCTTGGACAGCTGGAAACAAGCACTACTGCCCAGAGGCTTTATACGAAATCTACAGCACGGTTAGCAGACCTACTACACATCAAATGAAACACGGAAACCACAGCTTTCAAATGAGCCGGGTCTTGCTCTCATCAGACAACCATAAGGTACAGCAGTTGCCGGCGAATATAGGGTACTTGTTCACTACTATATTGTGCGGGCCTGAAAAAAAAAACAGAACGGATGCGAATTAGCCATGCATGTAAAACTTTTTGGAAACCCTATGATTTCGCGCACGCGCACATCAGACCAGCGTTGGACACAACGCAGCCGTTGTCGAGTACTGCACGCTCAAAGAGGGGCCTCTCAGCTATCGGCCGATGGCGAAGCCGAAGGGCAGGAGGCAGCCAACTGGTGGTGTAGTTGGACGCCCTTCCAAGTCGGACAAGAGAGCCAAAACAGCAGCAGCGAGAGGTCCGTTGGCCCAAGAGAGACTCCAAGCTGAGCTCGAGCAGCAACGTGCAGCGCTCGCGGCGGACAGAGCAGAGATGGCGCAGAGGGAGCAAGCGCTCAGAGCGAAGGAGGCTGCGTTCGCCAAGAAGGAGCAAGAAATGGCGCGCGCCGCTGCACAGCGGGAAAAGCGTGAGCAGCAGGAGGTTGAGCGCGTCCAAGCAGCAGCAGCTGCTGCTGCGGCGGAGAAGGTTGCTCAGGGCCTGGACTACATGGACACATCTGTGCACGAGGTGAAGCCGAAGAAGGGCGAGGTCTGGACCCAGTTGCAGTCAAGGATGGTCCTCATGCTACTCTTCGACCTCCGCAAGGAAGGTTGCTCTGAGAAGGAGGCGGTGTTGAAGGTCAGTACACAGCAGTGAAGGTCGGATGGTGTGGCACAGCAGCAGGCCGATGTCTTTTTTAAATATTCATCTTGATCAAAGAGGGGTAACGGTTGGTTTTTGAATCTATACTCCGGAATATGTGCTGTACACCCTATTTTTGCTGCCAACAGCAGTATGTTCATGTGTGGTGTGTGTGTTTTCGTTGCATTTATGTCGGGCGCGAGCCTTTGCCGTTCGTTACACGGTTGACTCACCTGTCTACGTCACACAAATATTCAGCAGGAATACATTGTACTGTTGTACAGCAGTTCTTTACAGCAGTACTTTACAGCACCTGAGCAGGCTTGCATGTGCGATGTCTCTCGGTGCAATGTCCAAGTGAACTGACCTTATTCATAAACGATGTTGCAATTTTTTCTCTTCTCTGGACCTCTCTATGCTGGCAGGTTGCGCGCACTTTCAAGATCGGCCACGACAAGGTCAGACGCATCAACAACCACTGGTGGGATCACCGCCAGTTGTACGAGACCACCGCCGTGGGGAGAGGCAAGACGGCAAAGAAGGATGATGGGCGACGCCGCCTCACCGAAGTACAAGAAGATCAACTTCGCGAGTTCATCAATGACGAGCACAAGGCCGGTCGTCAAGTCTTTCGCCGCACGGTGGCAGAATGGATGCACAGGACTTGCAACATGGAGCAGCCGTCCAACCGTTCGGCAGGAGGGCTGCTGAGTAGGCTCGGCTACAAGCGTCGTAGAGGCAGGATCAAAACGCCACCGTTAAACGCCGAAAGACTTGCTCGCATTCGTCGGTTTCTTGTTGAGATGGACATGGCAAAGAGGGCAGAGGATGCTGGGTTAGCAGTGATCGTGTACATGGATGAGAGTTTTGTCCACCAGGCTCATGGTTCCCCCTATTCTTACTTTCCTTCGGACGACGATGGAGTTGTGCAGGATGGGATTGGTCGCACAACGGGGAAGGGCTTGCGCATGATCATGGTGCATGCAATCACGAAGTGGGGGCCGTTGGCTAAGCTTTGTGATGGGTTACCGATCGAAGAGGGCTGGTTCAAGGAAACGGGTAGCGGCAAGAAGGAAATGGAAGATGAGGAGACAGCAGAGTTTCTGTGGCAGGCTAAGTTGGCAAAGGGCGATTACCACGCAGCAATGACCGACTCGATGTTCATGGAGTGGCTTGAACACCGCCTTAGCCCTGGGTACAACGCGATCCCGGAGTTCAAAGGCAAACGGATGATTCTTGTTCTTGACAACGCCTCATACCACCATGGATTTGACGCGGAAGTCAAAGTGCCGGAAACCAACACCAAGAAGCACAACGTCGATCTGTTGCGTATGTTTGGGGCCAAGTCGATCAGGGTTAGGCGTAAGGAGGGCGAACAGGGCGTTGTTGAGTACAACTTCGAGGTACCGACAGAGCCTGGTTCTTCATTCCCTGCAGGGAACAGGGAGGGCGGTGTAAGCAGAGCGGAGGTAGCAACGGCCACTCGGGAGTACATCCACCTCAATCACCCTGAAAGGCTCGAGGAACGGGTGGTGACGTTCATGAGGAAAAAGGGGTGGGCGTTGATTTGGACGCCGCCCTACATGCCGTCCTTTCAACCGATCGAGCTTTTTTGGCAGCATGGTAAGCAGTACGTCAGCCTTAACTTTGAGTTGAAGCGAAAGATGCGGGAGGTGTGGGTGCAGATTCGTAAAGGTTGGTACGGGGACAAGGAAAGACCAGGCCAGGAGGGGGT